TAGAATAAATCTAAGTGAGCTAAAAGTATTGTAAAGTAAAAACATTAAGATACTGAAGAAAGAAATTATTGAAGACACCAGAAGATGGAATAGGTTCCCATGCTCCTAAATTGGTAGGGTTAATATTGAGAAAATGGCCAGTCAAGCAGAAGTAATCTACAGGTTCAATGCAACCCCCATCATAATCTAATATAATTCTTCACAGAAATGAAAAAGAAAACCATCAAATTTATTTGGAAAAACAAAGAAACCCAGGTGAGCTAAAGTCATTCTGATAATAAAATAACTGCTGGTGCTATCATAATCCCAAATTTCAAGTTGTATTATAGAGTCACAGTAATAAAAACGTTATGTTACTGGAATAAAAACAGACACATAGAATTGAGGAACCACACATAAGCTCATATTTCTACAGCCTCTTGAGTTTGTAATATTTTCAACAAATTGTGTTTGCCAAACTTGATAGATACATGTAAGAAAATGAAACTAGATTCTTATCTCTCACTCTATACAAAACTCAGTTCCAAGTAGATAAGCACTTTAACGTAAGACCTGATAACCAGAATCTTTTTGAGGCAAAAGTAGAGAATATGCTAGAACTCATTGACACAGGAAAGGATTTGCTGAACAGGTCAAGGTCTCTGAAAGCACAGGTATTATGATGCACAATTGATAAATGGGACTTCATGTAATTCAAAAGCTGTGTAGGATACCACCATCCTGGGATAGTTTTAAACAACTAACTAAACATATAAAACAAGCCATGCTACTTCCCTGAATCTGGTTTCATAGATTTTTACCAGGCATTCATATTTATTCTCATCTTTTCTCCTTGTTCTTACACTTTATAAATACCCAATATTTAATTTCTCTGGTATTTGAGAAATATTTATATTTGCGTTTAGCATTTTCAGGACTTAATAACCATTCTCTATTAACAAGTGAAACTAAATTTGTTTCTTAAATTTGTAGGTGTTAGTTTTTGATGAGTTTTTATCTTGTCATTTGAATTTTTTGTATATCCTGAAAAAAATATAAATCCAAGTTTGTGACCGTAGCTTAAGACATGCATTTTGTGATTGAACTCTTCTTACCATGTGCCCTTATGTCTTTTAAAAGATGTTCAATCCTAGCTTTTAATTTTGTGCAATACTGCAGTGCTATCACATAAAATGACTCTTTATGTTGCAGCTCCTGGCGTTACACAATAATGTTCCTGTTATTAAGATGTATAGAGCTGTGTATCAACATTATTAAATATTCATGATTTCTCATTATTTCTTTATTATTTAGCATTTATACCTACTAGGAGATGAGGGACTGTTGCTGCTTACTCATCACTTAGTTCTTGTCATGTGCTTTCTGTTTTTTCTTTTTCTTTTTTAATCAAATGTCTGAAGCACACAGTTGTGCATCCTTGCATTTGAGATGCAATCATTCATTAGCATTAACTGAATGCTAAATTTCTTTCTTCTTGAATATGGTATGTGACCACCCATTGGTGCTGCGAAGCCCTTCCTGTTCTTCTATAGAATGGCTTGAGACCCTGCTTCCCTGCATGTCCACAATGATACAGATCTTAATATGGGAGTGAATGCATAAAAAGAAAGAACAACAAAACACTAATGTACTATTTATTAAAATCTCCAGACAATAGAAATTAAAGGTTTTCCACACTGATATTATGGTTTAAATTTTAAATGCCCCCAAGGCTTTGTTCTCAATTCCATGGCATCATTCAGAGGTAGGTTTTAGGAAATCTATGGTAAGCATTCAGATGATTGGAAGTGTGCCTTTAAAGGGGATATTCAAATATTCTCCTTCTCTTACCCCCCTTTGTTCTTCTCTCCCTCTGAGTTACATGAATTAAGCAGCTTTACTGATTTTTTTTTCATTTTTGGTTTTTCGAGACAGGGTTTCTTTGTGTAGCTTTTTGCCTTTCCTCGATCTTGCTCTGTAGACCAGGCTGGCCTCAAACTCATAGAGATCTGCCTGCCTTTGCCTCCCAAGTGCTGGGATTAAAGGCGTGTGCCACCACCGCCTGGCTAGCTTTACTGAACTTTATACTTCCTAGCATGGGGTTGTGCTTCACCACAGTCCTAAAAAATATCAAAACAAGCCTTCCAGCCATCTAGACTGCAGAGTTCTCTGAAACCATGAGGTGACATAAACAAACCTTTGCTGCCTCTGAGGTGAGTATATTAGGCATTTTACTACACTGATAGAAAATTAACAAATGCACATTCCTTTTCTTTTTGATTATTAATGCCTTTTATATTTGTCATATTGGCTTTTGTCTTCAATTATTATGAGCTCATGATGTTTGGCAGATTCAAATTGCTCCATGCAATCATATTGGTTATTGTCTTGTTGAGCATCAAATTGTCAGATTAGCTTGGTGAAGTCATTCTATTTGCATTCCTTAACTACCCTTTAAAAAATTCTTGACTTTTAAATTTATTATTATTATTATTATTATTATTATTAATGTATTTTAAGACAAACAGTTTCTGTCAACCAAGGATTATTATAGGAAAGTCCTGTGGTTTTTTTTCTCTCTCCCTCCTTTCTATCCTCTCCTGTTTTCACTCCATCTTTCCTACTAATTAAAGAAACATTGTTCCTGTTGATGTTTATGGGGAGACAAATTTCCAATTGTTAGCATTCCTCATAGGGCTGAATGTGAGTAAAAGCAATGTATTGCTACTGATCTCTTTTATGGAGAGATATGGAAAACTGTCTAGATTTTTAGTTTATGTGTTTACCTTTACATCCTTCAGAACATCTCATTTTGTGGCATCTTCCTTCTTTTTATTCTGTGATTTTTCCAACTTCCAAGAGTCTGCACCACACTAACACTAAATCAGTCTGTGAGCAAGCCATCAGATCAAACAGTTTAGAATGAGTAGATTTGGGAAACAGTTCATATAGTTCATCTATATCTCTGTGAAATGAAACTTAAGCCTGAAAGTCAAGAGTCACCCACAAATAAGAAGGACATTAGAATCATGTAGTGAGTTTCCTGAGTTTAATTTGATCACTTAATGGTCTGTCACTTCTACATTAATTGTTGGAATAGCAGGGAAAGTTGTTTCGTATTTCCCTGTTGAAAAAAAAATAACATCCTAATGAAAAAAACATTATTTTCCCCCCCACCATCAATGGTGGGTCACTGTCTTAACAAATTCAAAAGGGACTGAGTGGACTCAGCTTGCAAAACATTATCTGTGTCTTTGGGCCTTGATAGCTGCAGGTAGCAGGAAAGCGATAGCCTGTTTCTATGGTTCTGTGTTTCCAGTACTCCTGGCTGGTCTCGCATATACAGGGGTGCTGCATAGAAACCACGGTCCCTGGTCCCTGCATAGATGGCATTTTGTCTCTCTTGATATTGATAACTAGGAAAAAATAATTTCTGAGAAAGGACTCTGGTCACTGAGGTGGTTGAGAGACTGGTCTTGGACCATCTACCAAAACTCTGTGTTGGCTTGTGCCTGAATCTGTGAGCATGGTATCCAAGTGAGTGGGTAGGTACCTACTGGAAGGGAAGGATGCTCACAAATCATGTTCCAGAAACTCAAAACACATAAAGTGTTCTTCCTTGAATTATTTAAAAAGGTGACAATATGCTAGAAATAAGTTTCTTTCACTCTTTTCAAAATATTGCTATTTATTTGACTAGGGTTCCTATAGAAATATACCTCAGGTGTATAATCAATAATGATTTTTTCCCATTATATAGGTTGCCACTATGCTTGAATGGTAGTGGCCTTTCCTGTGTATGAATATGAATCTATTTGCATTGTTTCACATGAAGCTATCCAGCATGACTCGGATCATGTGTTGATCCTTTGTTGAATGTGTATGCTTGGCTTCTATGGAACAAACAAAACAAAAGAAAACAAAAAACTGCTTTTAGTAACTAGTATAAAAATATTAAAGAGGGTAGGTTATGTTAAGATCTTGTGAAAAGCCATATAGAAATCTACTATAGAAGCTTTCTAAAATGTACACATATATGAAAGGAATTTAAATGAAGTCATTATATAATGGGGGAGATAATTCCCCAACTAGCCATCTTATACCACCAAGTTCAAACCCTTAGTGCCAGGAATGGGTTCTATTTTGTTGGAACATTGGCCAAAGGGGTCCCATAAATCTGCCCCTCATCCCCAAACATCATAGGCCATTACCAAGGCTGTTGGTAATTCTCCATAGCCTGAGTGAAAAACCCTATTGCTGAAGACAAAACTTATGTCATTAAACATGGAAATATTGATCTGGTGACCAGGTAGAAGTTTTACTCCCTACTGACTAGCATTCATGATGATGGAAGATATACTTTGCATGCTACTGGAAGAGGAATGTAATAATCAATTTCATCCAAGTACAAAACATGTGACCTACAACAGTGACCTGCCTGCAGGATATACTGGTATAATTAGTGGCACAAATGTTATAGGGCTAAACAATCACTTTTAGAAATTGGATTTGTTGTTGACATCATGAGATGGAACCTATACACAACAATGATAATATGGTCAAGAATTTGAAATATTAGAAAAATGAAACTAGGATTTTATGTATAGACATCAGTGTATTTGGAATTTTACATACTTTTAAATGTGTAAAAAAATCACTTAATGTTAGTTAAAGAAGTTCTGTTGTGAAAATAAACTTTTATTCTGATGCCTGGGAATCATTTTTCATTTTTTCATATCTTTTCTGTGTATATATACATATGCACATATGTATATATATATGTATATATATTCAGTTGAAAATGATATGTTATTAGTTGTAATAGGCATGGATAATTAAGGGAACTAAGACATAAAAAAATTAAACAATTTAGAACATTTTAAAAATATTTCATAGGACTGGTAGATTTAGAAGTTGCAAACGTCAATTTCTGATTTATGAGTGTTTTGCTTCATTGCACGTGGCTATTCTTTTATCTCCTCTGTGCTTTCCCTCATTAATCAGTTTTACTTTTCTTTTAGGATGTTCTAAATCATTTGGGATCCTGTGAACTGGACGAAGATGATCTAATGCTTGATTTAGAATTTTTAGAGGAACAGAATCTTCAACCCCCAGGTAAGTGCTGAATAAATGCCTACTGTAATATGACCCCAATAAATGCCTACAAGAATATGACTCCAATTTTAACTAATTAGCTTTAAGTGCAGCTTTCCTGTAAGCCGGACACTGTTTAGAGCATGGCCAGTCTTCTCTTTCTCCTTTTATCATCTGTGTGCAAGGATCAAGCTAAGTGCTCTGCATACTTGAGCTTCTTGTCCTTGATGACTTTAGAGTCAGTTGTGGAAACATGAATCCAGCTAGAAGTGATTGTAAAATAAAACTGCACCCAAAAACTTTTCAAAAGGAGATAAGTTCCGATTAAATACTGACCAATTGAAAACATTAATATTTTATGTTATAAGGGAACCATGCAGTGGCTACCATTCCATTTTTCATGGTTTACTTTTAAACAAATATAAGTATGGTGATCTAGATTTGTTATTCAAAATTTTAGTCACAACATCCCTAACAACATACATTAATGCTGATACTGCACGGCTGATCTGAGAGCTTATAGTGACAAATAACAACTATAGACATACCCTCAAACACACATTTACAGTTATAATGAGTAAGAAGTAAATTCATCTCATACAAGCTATGAAAACCCATCCACCTCATTTGTAATAGTTTGAAATTATATTAAATATTAAATAATATATCTCTAAATTCAAAAATTGCTTCATTCCAAGTACTTTATATGGCTTAATTGTATTCAGATTTAGGAATTTGATAGCAAAGATTATTTTATTTTACTTTTAATGATACCTCTTACATTATTACTTGTACATTAAAGGTCAACAATGTTAAGGTAAGCTTTAAAGTCTTGAGTCTTTTAGCTCATTTAGAGGATATTGCCCTTGTAGCTCTTGGTGTTCCTACTTCTAACTTGTGTGAATTCTATTCTTGTACTAATTCTCAGCCCTATTTTGAGATTTTTTGTTCAGGCTACATATTCATACCCAGCTTATATATTGTAAATTTGTACCCTATTTTAGTTTGCCATTGTATATCAATTTGGGATTAAATTTTCTCAGAATATTCTGCCTGCAGTTGGTTTCACAGCTATCCTTTTGAAAATGTAGATTTATTAGTTTTTATGAAGATAACTTCTAAAATTTGTCCTTCATGTATATTTTTCCTAAGAGTTAGACATTAGGGGAACACATTAAAAAGTGTTCCCCTTAGAAGGAGTCTTTTAAAAAAACAATTAGTTATCATCTAGCAAACTTTTAGGTTGCTGCAGGTAGATGTGTAATATAGCATAACATATTTACCTGTAGACAAAATTACCTAATCTCTATTATCCAAACTTTTGAAACTAGAAAACTATAAAATAATACTGCATACATATTACTCATTTAGATGTCTACAGTAAAAAAGTGTTGAAAATACTTCAGATATCTCTCAGTAAGTCTCTTATTTAATAACTAATACTACAAAAAGCAAAACTACAAGCAATAAAGAAAGCATTCATATTTACTATTGTATAGTTACAGTGTACATTGTTAATAGTGGATGGCACAGATATGGATATGGTATACCTAAGCCCTAGATCAATCCCTAACATTAGCATACAGAATAAGAGGACATTCTATCCCTTTGATGAAATTCTGAGAGAAGTATAGTGCCAACCCTGAAACATTCATTTTCTCTCTCCTCTCATAATCTTATCCCACACATACTTATGGGATACCTATGAGATAATGAGAGGAATTTCTATTTATAGTTTTTAAACTCTGTGTGGTAAAGTGGGTCTCATAATTTTAAATAAATTTCTTTTTCTGTAATGAGAGTTTATATAAATAAACTTTACTAATTTGGGACTTCTTGAAATAAGTTTGAACAACGAATTTTATCAGAAGTATTGGAATGAGAAGAAAGTAAGTGCTAAGTGACAAGGTAAGATTGCCAATAGGCAACTGAGAATAAGGCAAGGAGAATTCTACGGGATACATGGTTAGGTTTCTTCTGTCAGTGGTCAGGATGGTGGAAGGGCAAAGGTGACAATTATAGTTTAAAACAGTTAAATGAAATGTGACACCCTCATAGGAGCATTCACTTAAAATATATAGACTCTTTGTAAAAAGTTAGGATTTTGAATGTTTTTATTATGAATAAATGATGAATATTACAGAGATAGATAAGTTTAACTCAGTTTATGTACAATGTTTGTGTTCTTATATATCACTCAAATGTTTAAAAACTGAAAAATCATTCTGAATTAATGAGAGAGAAGAGGATTTAACTGAGTCTTAAAGAATTAGTTAGTTTTGATGAATTTTATAATGACATTATTTAGTTTGAATTTTATATAATACTTCATAGAGATGTTTGTGGCTGCATGATTATATCTGTTATTTGGTTGATTTACAAGTATGGAGAAGGAAACAGATTAAGTTGATAAATTGTGTAAAATGATCAAAACTGGGAAATGAGTACCTTGACTGAAGGAGTCATGGAATTATAGGGATTTGAGATTAAAACTTCCCAAATCATATTTTCATCTCTATTTTGTGTTTATTGGGTTATTTATGAAATAATTGAATGTAGAGATGACATGACAAGACCAGTTCTGTTTGGGGCCAGTCATGGTGAAGAGCAGTTGTGTTTGACAGATAGCAATAATGCATAGCAAATGATGTGAAATCTAAACAAAGATGTAGCTCCATGTGTCTGCTCTGAGAAAACATTAACCTTTAAAGTTTTTTCTATATAAAGTATTACAGCCACTATACACTTTATTTAAGGGAATAAAAGTGATTTGTTATTTTTCTGACTCACTGCACAGAAGGTATAATTGAGAGCAAGATGCTAAGCCGGTTTGTCACCTCATCCTCTAAAACAAATTGTTGCTTAGACGTGATCTTTGGGCAACTGTAAGGTATCTCTTCTCTAAATAGATGTTATAAAAGGGCTAGTATATAGGGTAATATATATCCAGATAATTTAGATTTGTGTCTGTAATTCATCATCTTTAGCTGTTAGTTCCTTTACATGTATGCCAGCCACTCATCAGTCTTTGCTGTGGCAGGAGGTGATGGGAAACAGTAGCCTGGTAAAGTCACTGGAGCAGCAACACTGATCCAATGAAGAGGGAAGGGTGACAGAGCACACGTGGATCTTAGAAACATGGTGATGGGGTTACATTGATGCTTACTATGGTCTTTGGGAAGAAAAAATGGGAATACATTGATCAGGTATAAGATGAACAAATTATGGGTATCTTAGTTAAAAAATAATAATAGAAACATTAAAGACTATGATTATGATAAATGTAGAAATATATAGATATATCAAACATCATATTCTGTATTTTTAATATAATCTACTCTTGTCATAGAATGTCATATTACTTTGAAACTATATATTTTAAAATAAAAATGATAGTAGCTTAAAGATTAGGTTAATAAATTGATCTAAATCCACATTATAGAAAAGCATTCAGCAAAAACTGGAATATCTCTCAGGATGAGAACATAGGCTCATTGTTGAAGAACTATGCTGCATGAAAAATGATGTTGAAAATAACACAAGTTCCCATTAGTGTAAACAATGTGAATTTCACAGAAAACAGAAAAACACACATCATTGTCTAGGGCTGACAGGAAGAGACTGAAAGGAGCCAGTGATGATAAGGAAGCTTGGGAGCTATTGAATATATTCCTTGTCTTGCTTTTGGTATTGATTTCATGTCACACTGCATAAAAACCATACACTTTAAAATATATTGCTTATTATAGAGCACTATGTCTTAATGAGTTGGCTTAACATGTAAGTGAGTTTGTGGGAAGGAAACTGAAGGCTCATAGTGAGCCAGAACTTTATCAAAGCCACATCAAATTAACCTTAAAAAGTTTTAAAGAATATTGCACCTTTAGGATACATCCCAGATAAGCTAAAAGTTAGAATCAAAATAATAGGGATTATAGGCTCATAAACTTACTTTAAAATACACATGCAGCAGCCTGACCATACAAACATACAAAAATGAAACAAGACAAAACAACCCAAAGAAGCTCCACACTCCACTTAAAAATGTATGTAGTTTAGTTAAAGTTGTGATACAAATATTGATAATACTTCACCTAAAAGTCATAGGTTATTGAACAAATATCCCAGTGCTAAGGAAAAGAAACCTCCCACTTCCAGTTGTTGATCAGGCAGAGGAGAGGAAGTTCAAGAGATTTCCAAAACAGTATAGACCACTGCTATTGCCCTTGGTTTCCTTCTAGAGCCTGAAGATAAGACCATATTGCTGAGGTCACCATACACTTTGGACATAGAATTTGAAGAAACTGAACTTGTACAGATTTGCAAGTCTCTTTCCTGAACAGCTTCTATAGCATCAGACAATGCCATGTAAGCTGCCAGGGGAGAAAGGTAATCAATAATAGTCTTAACTAGCTGTTAAATCTGTGAACTACAACAATGACAAGCCCAGCAATATATTCTCTTTGGGTAACCAAAAACTACATGATTGGACTTAAGGTAAACTTGATAGGAGGGAATTCATATCTGTTACTGTAAACCTAGCCAACTGTTCATAGGTGGAAAAATCATAGAGCACAGAGAAACCATTAGTACCATTTCCTAAATCAAAATAGCATCTCATAGCTTTCTAAATATATATCCTTAAACTCAAAGATAAGTTTAGCTCTTATCTGGCATAAAAGATAAGTCCTTCTGCAACAGATGGAAACTTATTACAGAGATCAACAACTGCTTAAAGTGCAGAGAATAAGAGACTGAGTTGCTCAGCCCCAACACAACCACAACTAAGAGTCAAGGAATGTCATGGAAAAGGAGGCAGGAAATTTGTAGGTTCCTGAGGACAAAGATGCCTGATATAAGACAGTGTCTTCCAGATGTGACAGGAAAACTGAACTCATGAAATCTCAACAATATCATTGTTTAAACAAAACCCGCAAAATGATCACACCAGTTGACATACCAATGTGGACAGGAAAAGTTTCGCAAGGCCCCACCTCTAGATGAAGAGCTACAAACAATAA